TGGCTTTCCAGGCACTTGTATTCATGTGCGCATAACAGCATACAGACACATAGCTACTCATAAGTAACAATAATAAAAATAAAGCTGGGCTTGGTGACACACGCCTTTAATACCAGCACTTTGGAGACAAAAACAGGAGGACCTCTGTGAATGTGAGGCCCTCTTGTCTACGTAGTAAGTTCCAAAGTAGCCAGGACTACCTAGAGAAATCCTGTATCAGTAATAATAATAATAATAATAATAATAATAATAATAATAATAATAATGGCCAAAGAGATGGGTCCACAGTTGAGAGCATTTGCTGCTCTTCCAGAGGACCCAGGTTTGATTCCCAGAACCCACTTGAAGGCTCACAATTGTCTGTAAGTCCAGTTTAAGAGGACCCAACATCCTCTTCTGGGCCCTGCAGACATTGTAGGCACTTGGTGCAAAGGTATTACATGCAAGCAAAACACCCATACATACACAGAAAAAAATTAACTTAAAAATACACATAAAATCAGACAAGTTTGGTGAAGCACACCTTTAATCCCAGCACTCAGGAGTCATAAGCAGGAGGACCTTTGTCATTTCAAGACCAGTCTGGTCTACAAAGTTAGTTCCAGGAAAACCAGGATTATATAGTGATACCTAGCCAAAAATATATATAAAATAATAAATATTTTAAAATATTTTCATATTTCATAACATAGTTAACAAAGAAGATATAAAGCTTTCTAGTTCTAGCTCTGTCATGGAGTTTCGTGTTTGGTGGTGGATAATTACATAAAATACTCATTCAATAGTGAAAATGTAAAATCCAATGTGAAGTTTCACAGCTCCGTGTCAAATGGCTGCGCTAATGGTATAGAAGTTCATTGAGCTGTGCAGACTTTGAATCTGGTTAATTTTGCATGTGATTTTTTTTTATTTTCAAAAACGCTCCTATGTAAATGTGAGTACATAGCCACAGGTGCACACTAGGATATTCTAGAAGGGTTTGGGCTCTCTTTGGAGGAAGGGATAAGTGGGTCCTTTGCTGTCACTTAGTCTTTCTCTTTACTATTTGAATTTTGTTTGAAGACATGTATTTAAGTGCTGTATTAGAAACTGAAACCCCCTCCAAGCTGTGCCTTCCTCCCTGCACGAATGCGACAAAAGACGTGAAGCTCGCTCTGCCGCTGTGTTCTTGTCTAAGCTGTTTGAAGTGTCTTTGTGGCAGGGCTGTGAAGATTGGACTGGAAATTATTCATAGGAGAGTTACCAGGATGTCTTTTACATAGTAGGCACTGAATAAGTAATCATTGTTTACATTATTAATAAGAACGTGGGGTATAGTCTGTTTGCAGATTTTCTCACCTCGGTTTGTGCGCGGCCAACAGCTCGGTGTCTCTCAGTGACCACTTTGCTCGCTGCCCAGGCTCTCAGGGGAAGGGATGGCAGAACAGGGTACCCAGTGTGCCTCCATATTTTACCCCCACAGTCAGTGCTCACCTGCCCGCTGGAGTGCACAGACAGATGCTGCATGGCTTCTCCCCTCTAGGAAGGAAATGCCGGTGTCAGCGAATAAAAGTACTGGCTGCCTAGCCACGTGTGAGTTTTAGGCAAACAACAATTCGTTTTTGTCAGTATACCCTAAGTACCACAGGGATCTATTTATAGTGAAAAGACTGTCAGTGCATCTCAGAAATTCACAGGTAACCAAGCAGCCTGCTTTTTTTTTTTTTTTTTTTCCGGACCAGCCTGTGTCTGGATGGATAAGCAAGGGGCATGGCATGGGGGAGGGACCAAGAACTGTAAAACAGTCACTGTAGGGGTCAATGTGGAGGTTCCAAGGCTGAATGATTGGCTGTACCACGCCTACAAAAAGGAATCTAAGTCAGAATATTCCAACTTGTATTTGTCGCGGCTCTGTTCACAGTGGCCGAGTCAAGGCCTCAGCCAATGGGCCCACCCACTGGTGATGGTTGAAGAGAACGTAACATTTATATGGAGTTCAGCCATGTAAATGTTACGCCATGAAGAAGAATGGGGATCCATCGTTCATACAAAAATAGGTAGACCTGAGATCATTATGTTAAGTGCTATAAGCCAGGACCAGAAAGACAAACAATGCACATTTTCTCTCATATGCAAAAATCTAGGTTTTATTTCTCTTTTACTTATTCTTCAACAATTTTAAATTTGTATCCAACATGTCTCATATCAATATCCATCCCATCCCCAGCTCCCCCTCCCACTTCTCGAAGATGTCCCCTAACACACCCCTCCCACCTCCTGCATTGTTTTAATCTAATTATGTGCATGTGTGTGTCTGTATGGGGGTTTGCACATGTGAGTACAGGTTCCGCAGAGCCCAGAGGCATCAGAAGCTAGATGCCACTCTTGGAGCTAGAGTGGCAAGCCTTTATGAGCTGCCCATCGTGGCTACTAGGAACCAAACTCAGGCCCTTGGCAGGAGCGGTATACACTCTTACTACTGAGCCATCTCTCCAGCCCCATTCTAGGTTTTTTTTAAGACAAGAAAGTAGAAAGAAGACTATAATGGAAGAGCAAGGGAGCCTGAGAAGAAAGCAGTGAGAAAGGACCACTGAGGAAAATATGATGATGTATGCAAGTGTAGGAGGTTACGCTGAAAGACACTATTTTGTATAAGGAATATGTGCTTCTGGATCGTCACTGTGTGCACTGAGTGATGTCCGAGTCGGCTCCAGGGCAGTCAGTCTCTGCTCTATTGTGACCTCAGTCTGTGACTCCAGCCCAGCGGCACACTCCAGCACACTCTGACTGAGCCTTCCTCACTCTGCCTATCAACACAGAGCATCCTTCTCAGGCCTGAACTGGGCAGTTCACTCTCCAGATCTTGCATGAGGTTTATAAGGCCATGCTGGGACCCATAGCAGATCCATGGCCCTCAGCTTAGCCATTTGTCACATGAACCCTAGGAGTATGCAGGAAGTTCTGACAGTGACCCTGTGGATGCAAAGCCCACATTGCTCTTCCTAAATATGTATTCTGTAATATTGCTGTCACATACGTAAACACACACACACACACACACACCAGAGTCCCCAGCCAAGTGCAGGTGGACGCCTCAAGCTTGCTCTTTCTCCTTTTGTCACACTCAGTCCCTACCCCAGCCCGAAAGGTGGAATCTCCTTTACAATCCATCTCGCTCCTTCTGCATCACTCTGAGGCTGTGTCTCAACGCTGGAAACAAACACTTGCCCTTCAGGGAGCTGTGTCCTAATGCTGCAGATAAGGGACAAGAGCCAGCACAACCATAATGTCCAAGGCCTGACATCACAGTCTGTGCCATGGTACCCTGTGAGAGAAGGCGAGTGGGTGGCCAGCCCTGTGGTCATGGGTGGGTACTCTTTCAGACTAAGTAGTGAAAGGCTTTCCAACAGAGAAGGAAAAGACCAGTCATGCTGATATCGGGGGCCAAAAGGAGCAATGACCCCCTGAGGGCAGCTCAGCCTCCCTCAGACCCTACAGCTGGCACAGCCGGCAGACCCAAGTGTGCAAAGAGCAACAGAGGGAATGTGGCTGGCCCGGAGTCTTTCTGAGAGGCCATTGGCAATGACACTGGGACTTGTTTCCTCTGCATATACTGGATTTTTGGGATCCAGTCTGTTTGGATGCTCGCCTTCCTGGACCTGGAGGGAGGGGGGAGGAACTTGGACTGCCCACAGGGTGGGAAACACTGACTGCTCTTGGGGAGGGAGGGGGAGGGGGAGTGGAGGGAGTGAGAGGGTGTTGGGAGGAGGGGCAGAGATGGAAACTTTTATAATTTAATAAACTTTGAAAAAAAAAGAGCAACAGAGGCAAGAGGATGTTGGGAAAGGACCCAGCCTAGCAGCTAAATCACCAAACAAAAGCATTTCAGAAGGCCTTCTTCTTGGTCCTGCTATGGATGACGGCAACAATGAACCCGCGGATGACCAAGCAGGTGCTGTTGTCTTGAGAGCATCCTCCTAACTCCCAAGGCTGGAACAACCTAAAGATGGGAAGCTTCCCATTGAAAGGGCTCACTGAACAGATTCACACATTCACAATCCATTCCACGCATGTTTGCAAAAGCATCACAGGAGGTCAGAGACTGGAGACTATGGTGGCTTCTTTCCAGTGGTCTGGTGATTGTTTGTTTTGGTTTTGGTTTTGGTTTTGGATTTTTGGGTTTTTTTTTTTTCAAGCTTAAGGCTTGAGTCGTGAAGACTAAGTCCAGGAAAGCATCATGGAATTGGCTCAGTAGTGAAAATGGGGTTATGGGGCTTTAATTCAAATGCAATACTCATGCCATGCGGTGGTCTGGAAAGCTGTACAGGAGTGACCGGTGGCGTCTGTCAGAATCAGACACCTGCCTGTCTTGTTCAAAGAGTTGAAGAAGTACACAGAAAAGGCGAAGTAGCCCAGGGCTTCCTTCAGAAGCGAATAAGCAGAGTCCAGACTAGGTACCCTTCCAGCGGACACCATCATAAGATCAATGATTTTCATTTTCCATGTTGTGTGTTTGCATACTAGCATATGTATGTTTGCATATGGGTGTGGCTGCGCATGCACTTGTGTGTGCACCTGCGTGTAAGGGCCTGAGGTTGATGTCAGGAATCATCCATTGCTTCTCCTCTGTATTCGCTGAGGCAGACACTCCCAACCAAACCCAGAGCATACCAGTATTGCTCATCTCGCTAGCCAGCCTGTTCTGGGGTCCCCTGGATCTGCTTGCGGTGGCTGGAATTGGCAGGCGGGATGCCAAGCCGTGTGGGCAGGCCCTTCGTGTAGGCTGTGGGGATCCAAACTCAGGTCCTCTCCTCCACCTGTCAAATTAGCCGTGATCTGTACCATGACCCGGAACCCTGGTAATGAACCTGACCGCAGTGTTAGAGAGCCAGCCTCTTCTGGCTGCATTGTCCTCTAGGCCCACACAGCTACATGGTAGAAGGAAAACTATTTCCTCTTTTCTTCTAAACTGATGACCTTGTTTTTTCTTTCTCTTTTTCCTCTCTGCTCTCTGGACCCAGGCCCTGGTGTACCCACTGTGACTGTCCATAACACCACGGATAAGAGAAGTAAGTGCTGTTCCTTCAAAATCTTCCTGAGACTTGGGAGAGTAGGAGTCAAGGTTCACGAGACAATCCAGCCCCACCCCACCCCACCCCAACTTCAGGGCCTGAAGATGAATCAGGCCCTGGAGGTCCAATGTGCCTCTCTATCAGATACGTGACCCAGCTGAGGATCCATGGTGTCCCTGAAAATGCCTAGAATCCACAACAGCCTGTGAGCACTGAGGTTGGGTGGCCATTTCCCCAGACAACTCAGGTCATGGTTGAAATCTTCTGGATGTAGCCAGGACAGGCCGTATTTGAACAGCAGCCAGTGGGGGCTTCATTCTTGCCTCTGCTGAGGCTTCATGGGTACTCAGAGGTTTATCTGCCTGCAGGTCAGATGGTCATGTCCATGACATGGAGGAACTATGGGAAGGAAGGTGGGAGGATGGGAAGAAGGGAGGACAAGGGTGGCCATCAGAGTAAATGGGAACAAATGCCGAGAAGGTATGTGGCACCTTAACCATCTTTCTGCTACAGCCGCTCGGGAGAAGTGGGTTTTTAGAGTGATGAGGCCCACTCCCAGGCCTCATCTTGGGGACTTTTCCAAGAGCCTGGGAGATTTGAAGCTCCAGAGTTTCAGTCTGTGTCCCCTGAAAGATTCTGCAACAACTCCTTGGGCATCACCATTTGCCAACAATCTGCACACTCCGATGGACACACAGCAGGGAGGAAACCTGGCTATAGGATTGCCCTACAGCTTCCCACCCAAGTGGCCTCTGTGGTCTTCAGCAGCTTGACAATTAATTCCTCTGTAAGAAATTACTCCTGCTTAAGCCCTGCCTGGTACCTTCACTTCACAATTAGGCTGCTCCAGAGTCCCAGCATCACCTTTCTTAAGAGAGCATGTGCTGGAGCTGGGCATGGGTGGTGCACACCTTTAATCTCAGCACAGGCAGAAGCAAGTGGAACTCAGTGAGTTCAAGGCCAGCCTGGTCTATATACTGAGTTCCAGAACAGCCAGAGCTACCTGATAAAGAGACCTTGTCTCAAAAGAAAAAAAAAAGGTAGCCAAATATGGTATTGCACATCTTTAATCCCAGCCCTTGAGAGGCAGAGGCAGGCAAATCTCTAAATTCGAGGCCAGCCTAGTCTACAGAGCGAATTTCAGAACAGTCAGGGATACATAGAGAAGCCCTGTCTTGAAAAAGGAAGAAGAGGAGGAGGAGGAAGGCAGCGTGTGCTGTTTGTATTTGCTGACATGTAAGATCTCATAGATGATAACTCCCTGATACACTATGAGCTCATGGATAACTCCATCATACTTTATGGGCTCGTGGATAATCCCCTGATACACTATGGGCTCATGAATAGCCCCCTGATATTCTATGTGTTCAGCCCACACATGGTAACACAGGGCTTCTCTATGAGACCCAGTTCCCACATTCTTGGATGTTCCTGGAAATGAAACCCCCATAATCTCCACCCTCCAGGACTCCAGGCAGGAAAGAGTGTGGACAGAGCGTGTGGGGTATTCCTGTGTGGAAGCCCAGAGCCCGCCTATGTCGGCTATGTTGTCCGACTCCCTGCCAGTCGGTGCTCCTGGCACACAGTAGCTCACAACCATCTGTAACTCCATTTTCAGGGGATTCAATTTCCTCTTCCGGTCTTCATGGGTGCTGCACACATGTAGTGCACAGACATACATGCAGGCAAAACACATTCACAGAAAATAAAAATAAATAAATCTTGCTTTTAAGAAAGAGTTTAAACCAACCTGAGCTACCGTACAAGACCAGACAAAAGATTAAAATTCAAAACAAGCCCCTCACAGCTTTTGCCATGGTTTCCTCCTCCCTCCCTCAGGTAGGGTCTGCTCCGTGTCACTGAGGAGGGGGATTGAGGCCTAGTTCGCAGAGTCCTGCCAGCTACGACATCTTTCCCCCTAGAATCAGGTTGTTCCGGAGCAAATAGCTTCAATGGGAGAAAAAGAGATAGGCATGTTTAAAGAGAGAGAGCAAGCAGCCAGGGAGAGGGAGAGGCAGCAGAGTGAAGGCCACAGCAATGTTTAGTGAGCACCCGTGGCTCAGCGATGAAAAGTTTACACGTCTGACTTGAGTCTGTGGGGTGTGTCTGTCTCAGGCACACAAAACTCAAATAACTTACAAAGGATTGTCTGAGCAGGAGCCCAAAGCCCTGGCCCCTCAGTGCGAGTCTGCTGCCTTCTGCAGCTCCTGGGAGCAGCCACCCTGACAGGAGCTGGCCAGGTCCACCTGGAAGGGAAAGTCCTGGTCAAATGTCAGAGCCAGCAGTGTGTCCAGCCTCCAGGTGTCTGTGGGAGTCATGACTCTCCCAGTGTGCGGAACTTGTAATGGGATTGCTAGCCCGCTACAACACACCACAGCCCAGCATAACACCCCTTCAAATGGCAGCCTTGAATGTAATGCTTGGGGCTTGTCTCTTATCTGGCAAATTAGTGGCTTCTAGGTGAAGCCACACATCCCTTTCACCCCTAGGCCCCTGGTCTAGGTGATAGGATCTTGTCCATGCTATGGTCACAGCCTCTTTGCAGTCTCTGTGCCAGGTGCATGATTGTGGCACATCATGGATGTATGCCTCAAGCAGGCAGCAAAGCGGATGCATCCTGGACAGATGAAACAATAGTCCCTGAGACCCCTGTTTCAATCTCTCTGCGTGCAGTCTGCTGAAGGGAACACTGAATCAGAGGTTCTTCACTTGCTCCTGCTAGGGCAGGGCGTGCAAAGCCTCTGGGCTCTTTCCCTGTTGGGAGCACACCTATGAGTGTCCCTTGGGCTTCTCTGAGGAAGCTGCAGCCGTGCATTCAGAGGAGCAGTGTGCAAGCCACTGATCCTAAGGAAGCTGTAGGATGCCTTGCCTTGAGCAGTCTCTGTTGGTTGCAAGCACAGTAAGGAGGTGGGGGCACAGGACGGCTGCGGTTGGATTACAGTGGGGCTTATCACTCTGTTTTAGTGCAACCCTGTTAGGAAAGGTGGAATCATGTTACAGAGAGCTTGGCCCTCCCTCCCATCATCATCCGCAGCCTCCCTACCCCTGGGGATACTTGACTTTCCACCCTTTAGGAAATGATATCTCCAAACAGAGCCGGTGGGGTGTTGACAGATGTGACTCTGAATTATTTAAAAGCTGTTTCCTTAAGAATGTCATTATCACGGGCACCAAAGGCTCCTCATGTGTCTGAGGCTTCCAACCACTCAGAGATAGAAAAAAACACCAGCAGAGCCACATCTGTCTGCCACTGGTCCTGGCGGTCACGTAGATGGATGTGTGAGGCAGATGCTGGCTCTGGTCCCCTGTGGGAGAGAGCTGGGACCACGGGGGTTCATGGGCAACTGTACATCCTCTGGGTTAAAATGAGTGCCCTGGTGACATCACATGGGCTGTATCCGTAGGCACCCACACCCTGCCCACCTCTGGTATCATTTTCAGGTCCATAGCAAGTTGAGGCCAGCCTGGGGTACATGGAACCCTGTACCATTGCTAAACAATTAATCAGAGCTACCTTGCCCCTAAAGTTCAGGGACAGGAGGCACATGCTAACCAGGGTCTTGCAGTTTTTCTATAGTCCTTGACCATCAAAACCTTGCTTGCCTCCAGCCCCAACAGAACAGGACAATAGCCTGTAGTGGACCTCCTTTGGCACAGAAGTGACAAGCCAAATGGACACTCATCTGTTGTGGCATCTGTCCCAAGACAGTGCCAGAGACTTCCAGACTGTGACTGCAGGGTGGAATTCTTCCAAGCCTCAGTGGACAGCCTGCCCAACCACAGCCATGGGGAACGTCCCCAGTAATGTAACGTGTGTACAGTGCACGAAGAGAGGCAGGCACCGGTTCTGTGTCCTGGCGCCCAATTTATGCTCAACTCTTACAGCACACAAAGCAAGTTTGTATCTAATAACTACAGATTTCAAATATTTCAGGAGCAGTTTGGTGGGAAGAAAAGAGAAACATCTGCCAGGTGTAATGGTCCACACCTTTCCCAGCCCTGGAGGGACAGAGGCAGGCCAGTCTCTGTGAGTTTAGGGCCAGCCTGGTCTACATAGTGAGTTCCAGGCCAGCCAAGGTTACTTGCCTAGACACACTCCCATTTAAATGTCAGCTGGATCAACAGTACACAAATAATGCATTAGAGAGTCTCATATATGCTTGAGCTGTTATTTGAGAGATTTTCCTGGAGAAAGAGCTGCATAGAGCTGAGGTGCCCCTCGGTGGGAGAGCACTTGCCTGGCGAGCATGCACACAGCCCTGGCTTCCCACCTCAGCTCCAAACAGAAAAGAACAAGAAAAGCTGCACCAAGAATGTTTTCATCTGGGCAGAGTCATGGCATGAGTCTATGGAATCTGAATCCCCCGCCCTCACCCCTTCCAACAGTCTTAGACCATTTCTTCTTCAACAGTCGCAAGTTTGCATCCTTCTTTTTAGTCTTTACTGCTGCTAACATTCCCTGCCTCCCCAGACTTCTGTACCAATGTCACACAGGCACGAAGTCACTGAAGCGCTTGTACAGTTGTGGTGTCCATAAAACCATAAGGAACTGTCACATGTCCACACGAAGCAGCTAGACCAAATCACACACCGCTGCCACCCCTGGTGTAGCGGGGTGAGCTACCTCAGTGACACAGCTGTGGTGTATGAATGGCACTTCTTCCACCCCGAACACATCTGTGAGACGGTGTGTACATTCTTCTGCTTCCGTGCTAACCGGGCCCTTTGTGAAGGTGTCCCAACAGCACTGGAGTAGGTGGAAGAGAAGAATTCTAGTAACTCCACCATTTAGTTTAATTTTGTTTCCCGTGTGCTGGTGTTTTTTCTGCATATGGATCTGTGCCTTGGATGCCATGTGCCTTCAGAGGCCAGAAGAGGGCATTGGATCCTCTGAAATTGAGTTACACTTGTGAGTCACTTGTGTGTGCTGAGAATCTGAGTCCTCTGGGAGAGGAGCCAGTGCTCCTAACCTCTGAGCCATCTCTCCATCTCCCTCCACCTTTTTAAAACTCCTTCTGCGTTGTATATACCAAAAAATAGCAACCTATCCACCTCCAAGGATAACAATTAGAAGTGTATTTTTTTCTACCTTAGTCATATCCCTTGGCAGTTTTGCTGATTTCAAAGGGCCATACCCCTCCCGTGTTGCCAAAGAGTCCTTGCCCATCACCAGGAGTTGTCTATGTCAATGCAGACCTAGTGGTCCCAAGTCATCAACGTGAAGTCCACCTGCTGGTGGGAGGTTCAGGAACAGATAAGGTACTCAAAGGTGTGTTTCAGTCATGTATGAGGCCTTGATGGGAAGGACGTGGGAACAAACACATGAGGCAGAGACCGAGGAGTCAATCCACAAAACCTTCTGTTGGCTGTGAAAAGTCTTCTGGACCCTAGAGGCACACACAGCAACCTTCTGGGAAGAGTTAATGGCCAGCTTTGAGGTCCCATTATAGAATCTTGAATAGACAAGCTGGCACATAATAAATGCCAAGTGAAGGAGCATAAGCCAGATGCATGGTACCCATACCCTCAGGTGTCTACAGAGAGAACCAGGGGAGACCCAGAAACCTCACTTCCTGCAAGCACCTCTCAGGGGGTTCTCCCTGAAGCACCAGCAGCTGACCAGTGTGCCAACCACATCACAGCCCTCCATGAACATGGTGCCCCTGAGTGTCAGACATGCACATCAGCCCAGCACAATGTCCAGCACGATGCTGGAGAGACTAGCGATAAGACCACCTACCTGAATCCTGCCTTCAAGATGCTCAGCATCTATCCAGGGACTCAGTGAGAGTCATGGCCGAAGAACAGTCCCTCTGGGTCACAAACTGTCAAACTGACTGTAGCAAGGAAGCCTAGTGGGCTGAGTGAAAAGAGATCCGGTTGAGGGGAGCAAGTTGAAAGGCCTTTATTCTTCTGGGTCTGCTCTTCGAGTTAGCTGAGGAATGTAGCCCAGGGTTGATGGGCAGCCTCTGCCACAAAGAGCAAGGACAGAGAAGAATGATGCATGGGGGAGCGATGAAAAAAAGCCAGTAAAGAGCAGTGGGGGGGGGGGGGCTGCCTGACCATCAGAAGCCCTGCAGCACAGAGCTGCCAGAGAAGCAGTGTGTACATCTGTCTGTCTACTCAGCCTGGGGAGTCATCTGTCTGTCTACTCGGCCTGGAGAGTCATAGCCTACAGAAAAGAAACCACAAGCCAAGGGCCAGGCAGCCCCTCGTTCCCCTCCAGATCAGTTGCTTGCGGTTTCCATTGCAGTCTGGTCACCAGTTTTCCGATGATGCAGCGTAGGGGTGAGCGCTCCAAGACCCAGGGCCATGTGGGAACAGCCCGCAGGCCACACAACCCCAGGAGTGGCTTCCTGAGCAACCATTTGTCTCTGTGGGCTCACTGTGTCCAGATCTGATAATAGCTAATTCCACCAAATATTAGAGGGGCTCACATTTAATTAAGGAGTGGCCATGTGTGTGCTGCAGCCCGGAGGTCCCTGCTGCCCCGAAGTCAAAGGCAGAGTCCTCCGGGAATGTACCGATCTTTTCTTATTTCTCCTCTGAGCTCCTGCCCTCTTTGAATGCAATTAGGGAAACAAATAAACTAGCTGAACCCAGCTCCCCCGTGAGACCACCAGTTCTCTGCTGATAAACCCGACTGCGTGGGCAATCATTAAACGAGAAATCTAATATTTAACTAAATTTAATAGTCTGTTGCTTTGGTGCTCTTCTGCAGAAGGTAGGATTTCAATAGAGAGGAGGGAGCTATTCAAAGGCAGCCTGAATAGTCAGTGAGTGATTAGAACTTGCTACGCCCCACACAAGGCCAGACCTGCCAGGGCCCAGCGTGGGTGATGGGTATTTGGCTGTGTCCGCATTCGCTCTGGGAAAGCTGAGCCGGGTGGGCAACTGCACACACTGGTGATCTGAGTTTGCACCTCTCCATCCAGAACAGCATGTAAGACTGTAGAGTCACATTAGAATCGGCTCATACAAATCAAACGTAAAGCGAGTTGGGCCAATCTTGAGGGGCTCTGAATTGGTCCTGGTGCTTACCCACTTCCATAAATGAAGTTCCCATAGCGCCCTGGTGGCAGAATCTGAGTGAGATCCATGTACCCATCTTTGCTGGGCCTTTGCTGATTGTACCGATACCCATGTGCTCCCATGTTTGCAACCAACCCTTATTCACCTACTCCAGGTCAATCACACGTTCAGGCAGAGTGGTGGCAATGGAAGCTTCTTCCCAGGTTGTCTTAGAGCTAGGATGAAAGACCATGACCAAAAGCAACTTGGAGAGGAGAGGGTCTATTTCATCATATAGCTCAACTGGGGAACTCAGGGCAGGAACTGAAGCGGTGGCCATGGAGAAGAGCTGCGTACTGGCTTGCTCCTCGTGGCTTGGTCAGTCTATACTCTACAGAACCCAGGACCACCGGCCCAGGGGTGTCACCAGCCATAATGAGCTGGGCCCTCCCACTGCAGTGATCAGTCAAGAGAATGCACTGCAGACTTGCTTGCAGGCCAATACTATGAAGACATTCCCTCTCTCAGCTGAGGCTTCCTAGTCCCACATGACTCTGGATTGTATCAAGTTGCCATAAAACCAGTGTGAGGATTATAAGGAACCTCCATGTGCTGAAGCATTGAGACAGCATCTTAAGGTCTGGGCCCTGATTCTTACACTGACCATGGGTCTGGGGCTATCATTGAATGGTATCCTGGCCCTGATGGAATGAATAGTAACCTCCATACATAATTAGTCTTTTGAGCATTCAAGACTCTACACTCAGTTTACAGAATGCTTGCTTTCATTGTGTTGTTGATGTCATAAATAGGGCAGGAGACAGTTAACTGTCAGCCCTGTGTCCTCAGGCATCCTGAACTCTGGGACCTCGCAGAGCCTTAGGCATCCTGAGACCCCTGGAGGATCTCTCAGTCCTGTTTCCTTTGTGACTGTCCTGGAGGGGTAGCAAAAGGCCACCCAAGGAGCGAGAGAAAGCCTCAGGCAGAAACCCAGGGTTGGCTGCTGTCTCAGGTGAAAGTCGGAGCTGAATGGTTGCGTGTAGCTAGTAGCTTGCCAATCATTTTCGACAGCTTATCAGTTCATCACAGACACAGGAAAACTCCCATGCCCTACCTCCCCAGGAGGGTACCATCTCTGCTTCTGTGGATGTTGATGATCCTGGAGTCACACACTGCTGTGTGTCACCCAAAAATAAAAACACTAATCATAGAAGCCATGAGTTAACCTCTGATGCCTTTGAGAACCATGCCTGTGGGGCATGTCTTTTTAAAGGGGTCATGAGAGACCCCGACACTCTTCATAGGACCATGGCTTTAAAACATTTCCCAATTCTAGCCTTCTGGGGAACTGGACAAGCTAAAGGCAGAATCCCTTGAAGACAGAATTCTCTTATACACTGAGCCACAGCCAACCCTATATGTAACCTTAAGGAAAGAAAAGAAGTCAGGTGTTGGTGGTGCACGCCTTTAATCCCAGCTCTTGGGAAGAAGAGGCAGGTGAATCTCTGTGACTTTGGGGCCAGCCTGATCTACAGAGTGAGTTCCAGGACAGCCAGAACTACACAGAGAAACCCTGTCTCAAAAAACAAAAACAGGAAGGAAGGAAGGAAGGAAGGAAGGAAGGAAGGAAGGAAGGAAGGAAGGAAGGAAAGAAGGAAGGAAAGAAGGAAGGAAAGAAGGAAGGAAGGAAGGAAAAAAAAAGTCCAGTGTGTTTATTACATATGAGATGGCAAAATAGTGTCTCACGGCCATTTCAGCAAGTGAAGAAAACAGGTTTTCTCCCTTCTAGCTCAAGAAACTGTTGACAGGAAATTCGTTTGTTGTAACCTGAGAACAAAGAGCCCTGAAGAGCCTTGCAGATAAGCCACAGTGCAGAGTCACCCGAAGCAGACAAACTGCATGAGAAGAGTCAGGCCCTCAAGTTGCAAAAGGACTTTGCTATCTCTGACTGTGGTCACCAACTCCAAGTCTCAAAAGACCAGATAATTTATAGGTTAAAGTAAGAAATCTGGGGGTGGGGTGGCTGACTGACAGTCCAGTGACTTCTCTGCTGTCATCACCTGGTTATGGTGGCTATTTTTCCCCACAGATAACTAGTATTGCTTTTCCTGAACCCAACAGACTTAGAATAGGTCATACCAATGACACGCGTCGGGAGAACAGAAGTATATGGAGAAGCAGGTGGGAGGATCGAGCACAGAGATGTACTCTACTCTGATGTGCCCCTGTGCCTGATTTGAAGTTAGGATCATGGGGCTTGAATGAGCTATCTAGTAACTCATCTTCTCACTCTGTGCAGTGGCAAACAACCTGCAGGGATGTTCCTGCGAAGCAGTGTGGAAGACATGTGAGAACCTGCAGCCCACACGGGTCCCAGAATCCAATGTGTCTTTGTTTTGCCCTTTCCAGAAATTTTTGACTTGGAAGCAAATGAGCATGTGCAGAAGGCCATCAGTGATCGGCAGATGCCTAAAATTGAGTACCGGAAAATCGAGATAGAAGATTACAGTAAGTACCACGTGTCTGCCCTTAGAATGGTCAACAGAACACCTTTGGGCTCAAGGCAGCAAAAAACACAGGCAGAGCTGGTAATTTTTCTCCTCGAGAGATCAGTATGGAACCTCTCCTCAGGTTACCACATCCGGGAGAACACCTTCTGTCCTCGGTATCATGCCCTCTTCCTTGCCTCCAGATGCTGACTGTGAGCTAGTGAGAGGCATCCTTGATGCTGGAGAAATACATGAAGGGGGTCATTGTCACTGCCTGAGGCATTCTTGACACTGCTCCCCAGGCCTTTTGCTTTCACACTCTAGCCACTGGTTTGTTTCTTGAGTGCTGCCTTGGCGCTAGGCTATGAGAACCATCCTGTTTGCTGGAACCAGCTAGCGGCAGCTAGCTCCAAACCTCATCTCTCAATCTGTGTGGCCCCCAGCTCACCCTGGCTGACCCTGAACTCATAGCTGCCCATTGTCCTTAACCCTAGAAGTGTCACCTCCATCAGTGTCCATCAATGCCATCTCCATTCCTATCCATTCTAGGTTCTCTTGCAACTGGACACAGCACTGTTCCGCTAGCTGTTGTCATTCATTTGGATCTCTCTTTTCAACATCTCTGCAGTCATGGCCAGGCCTCAATTCCTGGGAGGATTCTGTCTGATCCACAGTCATTGACAGAGCTCTGGCCAGAGAGGAGAAGGTGGACAGGCTTAGGGGAAGCAGATAAGACTCATAGAAGGAGCAGGTGGAACTATATATACCTTGCAGGCATCTAGAAGTAGAGCCATCTCTACAACACCTGCATCTGCTCTGGCTTGTCAGTGGAGCCAGGGGTACTGGACTGTTAGCATATACCCTTGTGTTCTGCAGCCTAGACAAGATGCAGCCACCTGCAGGCTGCACACTGCCAGGAGCAGGAAGCAGGAAGCAGGAAGCAAGTAGCCCAAGTGGCACAGTACGACCACATAGTGAACACAGTAGGACAACTCATTTACAATGGAAAGCAAAAGATGTGGGTGTTCAGAGAACAGAGATTGAGCCAAATTGTGTAGGAAGGTTGCCTGCACTGGACCAGAGGTTATAAAATGTCCCTTTTGTGGGCTTTGGGTTGACACAGACATAACAGCATCATCCAGAGCACAGCTTAGGCAAGAATAAACATGCTATAGGGAGCCCCTTGTGGACTCTGCCTCCACCAGACCCCAAGCATGGCATGACACCACCAGCAGCTTACCAACAACCCTTGTGGTCCATCCCAGACCACTCACCAAAACACCCCCAGTCCCTCATCAAGTCATGTGAGATCACACTACTTCCAGAAATGCTTGTGTTCTCCCTGACGTCCTGTAGGAAGCTCCATCCACCTTTGGAGTCAGGAACATGTGGAAGCTGGCTAGACTGTGAGTCCAGTTCCCTCCAGCCCACCCCAATTCAGAGACTTTCCCTTGTCGAAGCTCTGAGAAAGGGCCAAGGAAAGAAATGAAGGGGGTAGGTAGCCTCAGGAGGAAGAATAATTTTTTAAACTGCACCTGCAACTGATCCAGTCTACTCTGGCTGAGAGCTGCACCTATGCTCTGGATATTGTCCCCGACATGCCACTCTGACCTGCTGCAGCATGTCCTTGCTCCAGGCTGTTGTGGCTGGGTTCCAATGTGACTTGCCTCCCTGCTAGGACTCCTCTCCCTTACAGTTCCAAAAGCCCCTTCTTCCTCCTCGTTGCTCTGCCTATGGCTGTCATTGCATCTTCACATTCTGGAAACTGACATCATCACCTTCCCTTCGGAAAGCCACAAAGGGCCTGTAGGAGCATCACGAGGACTGAGCCCTGCTCCCAGGCCTCCCCAGCACTGTGGCAGGAGAGGGTACCAGGGACTACCAGATCCACAAGGCCTGGCACGGGGAAGCCACCCTTTGGAGCAAAAAGTCTGAACCACATTGTTCCCCTTCCCTACACCTGTTTACAGTTTTGTTTTTCATTTCCACTGCCAGATAAGGCTTCTGGGAAAGTAAGTGTTGTGCAGAAAAGCTTCTTCAGTGTGGTCAGGCAGGCAGCTACTTCAAAGGTCCCCTCCCCCGCCGATGTGACCACACCAGGTTTTGTGGCTATCTCTGTGATACCCTGAAATGCCTGCCTCTCTGCCAGTCCCTGAGCCAAGGATCCAATTTGCAAGCCATTAACAGTCAGGCTGAGTCAGTAATGAAAGGCTGTCTCGGAGCAGTCTGCCAGGGCTGGGGTGCTTCTGCAGTCACTGCACTACGAAGCCACTAATTCCCATTTAATTGCTGGGCCTTGGTAATCTGGGCTGTAGTTATCCTCAATAAACAAATTCCTGCTGGGGCAGTGAGGCCTGTTCTGGAGGTGGGCTGAACAAAGAAACTGGTGTGGGATAATTTCCTGAGACTTGATTATTACACCCCCCATCTCATGCTACTAATGACCAAACCCAGTGACTTTGGTGGCCACAAGAAAAGCACAGCTATACCAGCTCCTTCTCTAGGGTCCGGTACTTGAGGGTTCAGCAGATAGTCAGACCTGCCTGGTATGAACCTGCAAAGTCACTTGTCACGGTAGAGAGGTGTCCCTCCCCTCTCAATCCAGCATGCCTCTCATTTCAATACATCCCTTCACCTCAGACTCTTCCTCTTCCAGAACAACTGCTCACAAATATCCATCTGTTTGTGTTGGAGAGCTGGCTCAGCAGTTAAAAGCACTGACTGCTCTTCCAGAAGACCCAGGTCCGATTCCCAGCATCTACATAGCAGCTTATAGCAGTCTGTAACTCTAGCTCCAGAGGATCCAACACTGTTTTCTGGCATATCTATGGGTATATGTGTGTGTGCAAAACACCCATACACATAAAGTAAAAATAAACCTATCTCTGATGCATGGCGGACCCAGCCCTCAAGGGCTCTCCCTGTGTGGAATTCTGCCACCAGCAGGTTCCTGTGAGCCCTGAGGAAGTGCATACTTCTTGTGTGAAAAAGTGACATTTGAGCTTCAGACCAGAGAGAGCTACAAGGCCAGTGACCTGCCCAAGGGTTCACACCAAGCTGCTGTGGAAGCTCCCTGTATGGACTTCCCTTCCCACCCCAGGGCATCCACAGAAATGCAGACACTGAACCAGGATACACCGTGGTTCAACCTCCTACCCAGCTGCCCCTGACCAGGCTGTGTTTCACCTGTCCCCAGACTTGCCAATGCAGATCCTGAAGCCGGCCACCTTCACCGACACGGCCCACTACCCCTTATTGCTGGTGGTGTAAGTATGACTGCCTCCTTCTTTCTCCAGGTGCCGTGTTGGGACTCAGCTGTGCAGGGAAGGGGATGGTGGACTCTCAAGGGAGAAGTAGGATAAGTGATGCTGCTTGTTTAGTTCCTAAGATGGGTTGGTTTGTCCGCAAAGGATGAATTCTTTCTGTGATTCCAGAATTCACCCCACAGAGGTAGAAACACAGTAGGGGCACCCAGGTACCGGTGGTCTGTTTCTTATTACTATGGTGAGATTATGAGAACATTCCTGTTCTTGACAAGTATATAGGACCATGGTCCTATAAGACTGTATCATCTAGTGACATCTTCGTATAGCTCAGCTTGACGTTTACACCACAGCCCAGCCTAACAACACAGTCCTCACAACACATCCCTGCACTGAGCTGCATGATAATGACCCAAGAGCCATTCGCCTTTATCTGTCTTCACTGAGTCCAGCCCCCTCCATAGCACGGGCCATTTCCCACGGTATACATTTCCACGGGGAATGCTTTTGAAGCCACAACCTGGGGTCTCCAATGGAGAAGGAAAGAGCTATGTGCAACGTCCCTACCCTCCTCACAGCGAGAGCTGCAAATGCCTGCTTTCAGGAGAGAGTGGCACCTCATTCTTCAAACTGGGAAAGTCACTACTCCAGCCTGTGTGCTGTTTCTTCCCACCTAACCATAAAGAAGGTTTCTAAGTTAATGAGCCATCTGAGGAGTCCCACATCCTGGGCTCTCAAATGGCAGGCAAGGGGGTGGGAGCAGACCAAGGTGTGTTAAGCCCCAAGCAGACAGGAAAATGCCATCATGTTGGAAATGCTCACCAGAAGAGTTCAGGAGACATAAAGTGTTTGCCACACCAATACAAGGCGCTGAATTCTATCTCTAGAAATTATACTTTTAAAAAGCCAGGCATGGTTGCATATCCCATCACTGGGGAAGCAAACAGGAATGCCCCTGGGCCTCCCTGACATGGCCAGCCTAGCCTACTTGGTTGAGTTCCAGGCCAGTGAGAGACCATGACAACACAAAACAAGTCACATGGTGCCTCAGGAATAACACCAGAGTTGACATCTGGCCTACACACACACACGCATGCACACACTCGTCCTTGAGATGACTGGGGTACCTTAGGAATCTCTGAGGGATATGTAAATGATACCTGGCTCACCCATCCCAGACAGCAGAACCCAAGGCAAGGAGTGGGCACAGGGTACCAAGTAAAGGGAAAGATACACACCCGCAGGAGAAATCTTCTCAGATGTGGTTCTTCCCAGCCATAATGAAGCATGCTGAAGACCTATCTCTTCTAGGGATGGTACCCCAGGGAGTCAAAGTGTGTCAGAGAGATTTGCGGTGACCTGGGAAACCGTGTTGGTGAGCAGCCATGGAGCAGTGGTTGTCAAGTGTGACGGCCGAGGAAGCGGCTTCCAGGGAACCAAGCTCCTGCATGAAGTACGGAGGCGCCTGGGATTCTTGGAGGAGAAGGACCAGATGGAAGCTGTGAGGTGAGCAGCCATGAGGACAGGGGTGGAGCAGGGAAGATGGTGGGGATGCTCTCTGCAGGGGCTGCACCTTGAGCATGTCAGCCGTTGCTGCTGCTGCCTGTACACACATCCCGTGCTGGCCCTCACAGAGCTCTGTGGACAGGTGCATGGCCATCTCCAGGAAGATGGCCAGCAGGATTCTCCTGAAGGCTTCCATGCTGGCTTCCACACAGCTTGGTGGCTTCCGTATTGAACTGATCTAAGCACAGGATCAGAGGCCAAGACTGAGCTGGGTCTATGTATTAATCACTTTTATGATCTCTGAGGCCAACTCCCTCACAAGCAGCTCTTCCAGGAGGAGAGGTTTATCTAGGCTCACAGTTTGACAAGATCCTACAGTGTTCCTGGTAGCAGGAACCTTGGCTGGGAATCCTCGAATCTCACTGGATCAGGAAACAGAGAGGAGGGAAGTGTGGCTAGGCAATGAACTTGAAGGCCAACTTCCTCCAATGAGGCTTTACTTACTAAAACCTCCCAAAATATGCCACCAGCTAGGGACACATGAGCCTGTAGGGGGGCATTTTATACCACTGCAATCTGCCTGGCTTCTCCATGCTATGGCTTCTGTGGTTGGCTATGCAGTCATCTCCAGAAAGAGAGGAGAGAGGGAGGGAGGGAGGGAGGGAGGAAGGGAGGGGAGGGAGGGAGGGAAGAAGAGAGTGAATATGAGTGGGAGTGGGGCAAGGCCAAGGGGTCTCCTCACTGCATAAAAGAGGACCCTGTAATATGTAGGCAGCTGGACAGAAATGCCCTCTGGACTCTGAGCAGTGGCTGTTTTCAGTCCTTACCTTTCTCCACATGCTGTCACCAAGTCAGTGAGCCCCACCAAGTGCCACCAAGAAGAGAAGGAGCTCAGTACTAAGGGGCAGATGCTCAAAACCATGCTTTACAATGTCCCCGAAATTTTAAAGGAGCATGAAGAACCCGCCCGAATCTAACGGGCCTCCAGGATCGCTCTGTGGGGTGAGGGGGGGCTTACAACACCCAGAACTGTGAATGTGGCTGTGCACTGAGAGTGAAGTGAAAACAGTCCCAGCGCCCTGCAGAATTGCAGGCTTCGAAGGACAAAGAAGAGCCATGTGACATAGGCCATCCTAGCTGGTGTGTTCATAAGCCTAGGTATGATGGGAGAGTATGGGCTGCCTGAGTTCCCATGTGTGCTGGAGCCTGCAGCTGGTCAACACTCCACACCCAAAGCTCCAAAGCTTCCAGGAGAAGTCTTGACTGGCTTTTTCAAAACGTTTTTTTATGGGCCACAAAGGACCTTCTTTGTGGAGTATTAGCTGCCTTTACGTCACTACAATCAAAATGCCGGAGGAAAGAACTCAAGAGTGGAGAGGTTTGTTTGGCTCACAGTTTTGGGAAAGACAGTCCGTCGTGGCAGGGGAGGCATGCCAGGGTTCCTGGCAGTGGGAGTGTGTGCAGGTTGATCTTCACCTGGTGGTTGCTCAGGAAACAGAGCTAGACTGGAACCAAGGCTGAACGAAAACCTTCAGAAGCCTGCCCCTGCTACTTCATTCCCACTGTCTGGTACCCACCTTCTAAAGGTTCCACGGTTTCCCCACACAGCTCCACCACGCAAGGAGCAAGTGCTCAAGACTCAGAACATGAGCTTGCGGAGGAGAGTTCAGATGCAAGCCCCATCAGGGAGTGTGAGCCAACCAAAACAGACAACACGATGTCTTCAGATCCCATGCATCTTACAGACAGAAATCACATGGGGCTGGAGTGATGACTCGGAGATTAAGAGCATTAGCTGCACTTCCAGAAGACCCAGGTTCAATCCCCAGCACCCTCATGGTAGCTGTAGTTCAGAATTGTCTCCATAAAGCCAGTTCTGGGGAACCTGATGCCATCTGATGGCCTCTGAGGGTATTAAATGCATGTCATACACAGACAAAACCTCCATACACATGAAATAAGAAGGCAAAGGCAGGAATGTCTCAAGAGCCCAACCATCATGGAAGGTGTGTGTGTGAGGATGCTTTTGACAAAGGTCAGCAACAACACACACACACACACTTGTATTTGCCTTTAAGGCAAGGAACCTTGTAGGCTCTGAAGGTTCACAGAGACAGCGGACCCCAGGACTGGAGCTCCAAAGACAAGTAGTGTCAACGAGATGCAGGCTCTGCCCATCTATACTGCCAAGCTGGACAGCCTCACTCTGAGTGACTTTTCTCAGCTGAGGGGAGCCATGACTGTAATAACATCAGCTTCTACAGTCTTTCAGTGTTACTAACTGGTCAGGGCAACAGAAGACACTTCCAGAAACTTCCAGAAAAGAAGAAAGAACTCCTTGACTCGAAAGCTGCTGAGTAACCTTCATTTCATCTCCCTGGACTTAACATTGCGTGATCTAGAACCAACAGCAACAAGAAATAGCCTAGGAATGATTGCAAGACTCCGCATCATCAGCAGGCAAGCTGTATCATCAGACAGGAAGCTGGCTTTCCAGGAGACCAAGGTGGCCCTGATTCTGGCTGTGAGATAATTCCCATCAGAGGAAGGACTGGGACAAATGAACATTGGCTTCTGTCTGTAGGGAGGAGGAGCAGGTGACTGTCAGTGACCCACAGTACACAAGACAGACTTCCCAGGGAAAGTGAGGAGGCGTCTCAACAGGCTGGGGTTAGAGGGGGCTCCCAGGAGCCATCATGGGAGAACTGTCCTTGCCTCTTGCCCTCCTGCCTGGTTCCCCTCCTTGTCTTCTCCAGCTCTTACTTCATCTCATCTGGTTTAACTAGTCCCACTGAGGCGCAGTGTCTCCTCTCTGTTACAGAGAACCCCAGAGAAAGATCATGAATCCTTGAGACAACCTGTGAGCCTGTGGTCCCTAGAGCCACTTCCTCAGAGCTCGGGGACAAAGAGCAAATGTTTTTATCCATTCTTATAAACAAGGAGTGGTCTCTATAGCTAATCAAAAACAACAGCAAACATGCTCTAGGGAAAAACCAGTGATGTCACGTCTCAACCCTAGGCAATCACAGAACAAGAGCCCAGGAATGGCTGTAAGACTTGGCAGATTTTCAGTGTGGAAGGAGGAGACTGAAGACAGTCCATCATGCTAACCCCCTGAAGCTCTCTGGCTCTGGATGCCTTCCACCTGCTCATAGACCCCTGGAGCCCTGGATATATAGTCCCCTGTAAGGTCACATAAACCAGCACCTTGCTAGAAAAGGGAAGGTGTAAGGTGGGGTAAAATGGACAGGGCCTCTGGGGCTCCCTTCTGCTCCTAAGGCTCGGCTGGGCACCTAGAAGTTCCCCAGAAACCTCATTGGGGTACATTGCATTTAGAATGTAAACAAAGTGAGCACCAAATAAATAAATAAATACGTAAAAGGAATAAGCAGCTGCTTTTAGAATCCCAGGATCCTTTCTAGTTTGAAGAGGTTCTTCAGGCTGGTCAACATGGCTGTGGACTACGGGCTGTAGAGGAGACCCACCTACATCTCACGCCTCTTTTCCCTTGGCCTGCAGGACCATGCTGAAGGAGCAGTACATTGACAAGACACGAGTGGCCGTGTTTGGGAAGGTGAGTCTTGCTGTCTTCTGCCAGAGCCTCTAGACCCTGGAGGTTAGAACTGTGTCTCACCACTGTCAGCTTCCTTCTGAGTCACTGAGGTCACCTACGGCCCCAGGGGAGGGAGAGAAAGGAGAGAAAGGGAGAGGTTAGTGATTGCAGCATTGCAGGAGAACCTATCTTTGGCCTTTGTCACTTGGCCTAGAAGGAGAGAAAGCAGGTCAGGCCATCATCAGAGAACTTCACTGAGCTCCTAATTTCTTCCCTTGCCGAACCTGGTGAGCGCTGATGGGCACTCCAGAAGAGGGACCAAGAACCAGGGTGTGGACAACTTCCTGTGTGCAACCACACTGTTCCCCCACCTTTGCTCAAATGGAAGGAAGACTGTGGGTTCCCTGTGGCTAAACCAGAGCAGTTTCCACCTGGCAGCTCATGGCTTAGCCTCAGCTGGCCCAGACAGGCTGCGGTGGAGGCCCAGGGATGGGAATTAGGTCTCCAAGGGCTACTTGTAAGGTGTGCTAGGCCACCCTCCCTTCCTCAGGCCACCTGGACTGGAGAGCCCTTATTCTCAGAAAACCAAGAGCTCATGGCTGTGCTTCTCTTTCCTCGTGGAAGCCCCACCACCCCTTTAGAGGAGCCCTGCAGTCAACACCAGAATATACCCCACAGACTGGTGAGCCATGTGCACTGGGGGACCTGATGGTGTCGTATGGGAGACAATCATGGCTCTCACCTAATACCTGACAAAAAGCAACTTGAGGGATAAAGGATCTATTTTGGCTCCTAGCTCCGTGATGGGAAAGGAATGGCAGCCATGATCGTGGGAGTCTACATTACATCTCTGAGGGTAAGGGGTCAGCAGAGAAAGTAGAGGAACTGTGGCCAGAGGTAGAGTTGGTTGTGATCTTATTATCTTAACTGACCTAGGATCCCAAAATTTCTTCTTATTTAAAGAGGGTGTGCATGGCCCAATCAATGCCTGCCAGTTAGGCCCATATCCCAAAAGTTCATTGGTCTTCTAGAACAGTGCTACCAGCTGGGGACTCACGTTCAAAGCATGAGCCTGTAGAGTCACTTCATCTGAGCTTTAATCCACCTGAGCCCCTGTGGAAGCGAGGCCACAGGGAGAATCGCCAGTGGGCTCCCCTCAGAGGCGGAACAGAGCCACGAGATAGCCCTGAGGCTTGTTCCAGACACTCCTGCCTGTGAGTAGCCCAGGGCCGTAGATCACTGATAAACTTAACTGGGCCTCAGTACTCACTACACCCCTTAACCCTCACACCCCTGACTTCCTAGCACCCCTGTGACAGAAGTGAGGGGGCCAATGAGGGGGTCTTCATGAATTTCACTCTCCCCAAACATATAACAATGTCCATCTAGAAGGGGAGCTAACCTAGCCTTCTTCCTTTGCCTCAGACAGTAACACCCACTGGGACCGGGTCACTTTCTCTGGCCACAGCAGGCCCAGGGTCATCTGATTGTCAGTGGGTTTTATCCGGGTGTGGCCAGCTGGGCTACACAGCCAAGTGTGCCATGCGGGGAGGGGCCATGCACCTTCAGATGCATTCCTCCCCCATGCCTAGAGCCAAGTGTGCCGTGCGGGGAGGGCCATGCACCTTCAGATGCATTCCTCTCCCATGGCTAGAGCCAAGTGTGCCATGCGGGGAGGGCCATGCACCTTCAGATGCATTCCTCCCCCGATGGCTAGAGCCAAGTGTGCCATGCGGGGAGGGGCCATGCCCCTTCAGATGCACTCCTCCCCCGATGGCTGGAGCCAAGCAAGCAGCAGCTTGTTACTTGCCAGACCCTTGCTTTCCTGTTCTGCCAAGGGGGGCCTCACACTTTGCTTAGTAGCCTGGGTCTGTTTAGGTTTTGTTTGGCTTTGTATAAATGTACCTTAAACAGAAGTTTTGTGAGCCTCCAACTCGGGTTCCCCACTTGTAAACAGAGACTGCATTTTTATTTCCCAGCCATCCAGACCCGAATAATGCTACAAAAAAATGTATTGATTACAGTATTGTTTAGCCAATGGCTCAAGTGTATTCCTAGCTAGCTCTTATATTTTAAATTAACCCATGTCTGTTAATCTGTGTATCACCACGAGGCTGTGGCTTACCGGTAAGGTTCTTGCATCTTTCTGCTTCGGCAGCTACATGGCATCTCTCTGACTCTGCCTTCTTTCCTCCTCTATGCCTGCTTGGACATTTACACATTCAATACATATGCATTCACATATGAGCTCACATGTTCACACAAGTAGACAGGCTCAGAATATCCATTCATATGCATACAACTGTATTTTCAGCTGTATGCCCATACATGTAAGCACACACGCCTGCATGTTCTTATGTTCCTTTGCTTATATGGTCACATAGATAGATAGATAGATAGATAGATAGATAGATAGATAGATACTCACAAATGTTCACCTCTCTCTCTCTCTCTCTCTCTCTCTCTCTCTCTCTCCCTCTTTCTCTCTGTCTCATACACCCACTTACTCACATATGCCTTCTACAGCCACCATTTGTCTCTAGTTCTCTCAGCCCATTCATGCTCAGGGGATTTGTCCCATTCCACTTGACTTCTCTCAGCAGACGATAATACTTGGAAGGTACCAGACAGTGATGGGGCACAGCTTCAGCTAGGAGATCCACACCAGCAGTCAGACCTCGTGAGTGCTAAGGGCTCACCCTACTTGCAGGACACACATACAAGTTTCATGAAGTCCTGGGCTGGGTGGCATGAAGGTCTTTTCTCCACCCTGTTCCTGAGCTCTGCTTCAGCTTCTATAGGATGCACAGAGACAGGCGCTGGCTGTAGATGAGGAAGAGGAAGGGAGGCTGGACTGGAATGCTGGACACCAGTTGGACACCAGGTTCCCTCTGCCACCATCCTAGGCAGAGGATGTGATCTCTGTGATCACATAGAGGCATACTTATCCCAGGTCTCTGGGCACTGGGTGCTGAAGAGGGGGAGACTGAGTCACACAACATGGAACCGGGGAACTATTTAGTGTCTCATCTATTGCCCAACAAGGATATAAAGCTCAGGTCTTTGAAAAACTTCATGAACACATACATATTAGGGGCTGGCCTTCATGGGCTGAGGCTAGTTTCCTACTGAGTTGTGGAAAGTGACCCCACCCCTTGCCTCTTCTTTTTCCCTTCTGTCTCCTAGGATTATGGTGGTTACCTGAGCACTTACATCCTCCCAGCCAAGGGAGACAATCAAGGCCAGACTTTCACCTGCGGCTCAGCGCTCTCTCCAATAACAGACTTCAAACTCTATGGTAATGGCTTTGATGAGACCCAAGGTTGAGCTTGCAGCATAACCCCACCTTTCCCTTCAGCACCTCTGTGCCCTATAGCAAGCACCCACAGGACATAGTGACCCCTTGGGGCAGGAGGGGAGTCCTTAGCCATTGTTTGGAGTGAAGGTGGGTCAGTTCACCAGTAGGCAAAGATCACTCTCCAAAATCCAAGGTCAGCTCACAGTAATGACTTCAGAAAAGCCTGTGCCCACAAGTGGGGAGGAGGTAGGAAGCAATGCCTAGGCCATTCTGCTGCAGGAATGTGTGCGCCGGGCAAGTACAGAGGGGAAAGAAGGGAGGAGGGGCGGGTGCTTGCACACAGACCACGCTGGTGATGGTGAGGTTATTACTACTCCCGGGATATGGGGGTCTGCCTGCCTCCATCCAGGTCCACAGATTGCACCTGGCCATACTTCTTTGTGCCGAGCAAAGCTTCCCAGGAGCGGGACTAGACCTGGGGGATGGGCCATCAGGATGACTTGTGTGGGCTCCAAACAGACCTGAGATGACCTAGAGAGCCACCTGCCGAAGCAGACATGATCCCTGCCCAACACAGTTGTCTTCTCTTTGGCATCTACCCCTTTCTCTGGCAGTGTGTGGCTTGGTGATACTCAACACAAAGCCCTAAGTAGCCCTGAAAATACACATTCTGTTTAGTGCTCCAGGGCACGAGGCTCTGAGCCCCAGGAGACCCCATATTAGGTGATGACAAGAATCAGGGGTCTTGGGGCTGGAGAAATGGCTCAGCTGTTAAAAGCACTGACTTCTCTTCCAGAGGACCCGGGTTCAATTCCCAGCACCCACATGGCAGCTCACAGCTGTCTGAAAATCCAGTTCCAGGGGATCTGACACCTTCACACCAATGCACATAAAATAAAAGATAAATAAATCATAAAATTTTTTTTAAAAAAGAATCAGGGGTCTTCTTGTCTTAAGTCTGCTGCAGTACTGTGGGAACTGCTCTCTTCCCTGTGTCCCTCCTAAGGTGCTGGTCTAGCAGCCTCTGAGGAGCTCATGACACAGGGTGTCACAGCTCTGATGCAAATGACTTTGCCCTTGTTGCAAAAGGAGTGGCGGGCTGCATTCCGGCCACCCGGCTAGCTTTACCTGAAATAATTACATGGAAACTGTATTCTTTTAAACACTGCCTGGCCCATTAGCTCTAGCCTCTTACTGGCTAACTCTCACATTTTGATTAGCCCATTTCTATTAATCTGTGTAGCACCACGAGGTGGTGGCTTACCAGGAAGATTCTAACCTATGTCCATCTTGGACCAGAGTTCATGGCATCTGCCTGACTCTGCTTCTTTCTCCCAGCATTCTGTTCTGTCTACTCCACCTATCTAAGCTGCTGTCCTATCTAAAGCCAAGGCAGTTTCTTTATTAACCAATGAAAGTAACACATAGACAGATGCTCTTCCTACATCATGCCCTGGCCATTAGAATGTTCCTGGTTCAACTCCAGAGTAATCTTCCCATGGGAATATATGTGTTGTGTGTTGGATTGTTCAGTGAGACTCTTAATTTCTTAATCATACCATTCCAATTCACCTGATTCAGATATGCATAAATTAAACTGAACCCCCCCACACACACACGCTCCTTGTTTTCAGTGCTGCATATAGGACTCAAGACCTCATGCTTGCTAGGCGGGCCCTGTCTGCTGAGCTCCCCAGCCCACCTGTATCTTAATGAACCACAAAGTTCCTTCCCCTGCCTCCTGTAACTCACAAAGGTCACCCCAGAAACCCTGTGACATCGAAGTGAGCCCTCATCCCTGGTTGTCCTGGCAGAACAATGCTATGGGAGCACTGCCCCCTTCTCCATCACCTGGCACACATCAGGTGTGCAGAACCAGGATCTAAGCTGCTTAGAGAAATTCACCAGGAATGACGCATTTAAACATATCACTCTCTCTCTCTCTCTCTCACACACACACACACACACACACACACACACACACACTGTTTGACTCCCTTGCCATGAGGTAGGAGATTTAGGAGACAGCTTTTAAATCCCAAAAACTTAAGTCCAGTATGGTGGGTGGTGCATACATTTAATCCCGGTACTTGGGAGGCAGAGGGAGGTGGATTTCTGTGATGATGAGGCCATTTGGGCTTACACATTCAGTTTCCAGACCTGCTAAAACTACATAGTGAGACCTTGTCTCAAAACAAAAGCAAAAAAAAAAAAAAACCAACAAAAAGCTTAGCATTTACTATGCAAGTAGCAGGGAAATGGCCCCATCCTGCAGCCTCATCCCTTCCATCTGGGCTCTGCCCATTGGAGCCCTTGAGGACCAGGGATGACCCTTTCCCTTTGCCTCCGTGCAGCCTCTGCATTTTCCGAGCGGTACCTTGGCCTCCATGGACTCGACAACAGAGCATATGAGGTACGTTTGGCATAGCTGCTATTTGGAGAGACAGGGAACCAGGTGAGACTGATCCATCTACTCTTCCCCGTCCTCCCACCTCTCATCCCCACCCACTCTCCCTCCCAAAGGGCTGGGCCTCTCCACCATCACAACCTTGGGATCATCTTCTCACTGCACTGAGCTGGATTAATGTGGCCTCTGTAAGCTCCTCTGTTCTCCTGATTGGCTTTGGTGGGTGAAGGAGAGAGATGAGAAAGCCCAGGGTGCTGCTGGTGGTTGGGGGCCCCTGCTCCCCACATCAAGGCCAGTTCCTCTTTGGGAGGGTGAAGTATGAATTGTGTTTCTTACTACATCCCAGCCATCCTGTTGTCTCAGAGTGTTATACACAGCACGTCATCAGCCATGCACAGGCAGAAAGCAGTGTTGTGCAGGACTCTACATGGACAGAGGGACAAGCCTGTCCAGTGTCACTGGGTGACATGATGGCCCTCTAAGACCACCTCTTCTCAGAGAACCCCCTTCACTTTCTCTCTCCTTTCCCCTACTCTAAGGGAATTGTTCTTTTCTCATGACATAGACAGCCCAGCTCTCCAGGGCCTGGCATTTCCCACCGTTTCCCTTGACCCCTCCATCAATGTCCCCAACCCCCACCTGCTCCCTATCCATTGCCCCACAGATAACCCTGTCCTCTTGCCCCCCACACACGCAGATGACCAAGCTGGCACACCGAGTGTCCGCACTGGAGGACCAGCAGTTCCTGATCATCCATGCCACGGCTGACGGTGAGGACAGAGCGCCCCCCCCACACCCAAAACCCCTAGTGCTGAAGGTCCCCTGGGTGGTGATGTGAATTTTTTGGCAAATGTTTGTTTCTGTTTTCTTCTACAGAAAAAATCCATTTCCAGCACACAGCTGAGCTCATCACACAGCTGATCAAAGGAAAGGCCAATTACAGCTTACAGGTATGGGATGCTCCCTGGGAGGTGTGGTACATAGAGCAAGGTGGCCCTTGTCGTGGGGACAGGACCGAGCGGGGTCCACATCATATCATGCCAGTGCCCTTCAAATGATAGCAGCTCCCCTCTGTATCCAAGCCACCACTGTTCCTCCCGACCCTGCCCCACATTCCACTTCTAAGCAGAGAAGATGGCCAAGCCAGCACATGCAGGCCCTGGCAGTGTTTTGTAGATATGGGGAGGGAGGACTGGTGTCCCAGCATGGGTGGCTATCGAGTCTTCTCTTTCTGACTCTCTCTGGGCAAGAGCCCTGTGAATGCCCCGAGCTCCTCTCCCCTCTGTGACTGTGATCAAACACTGTCCGTCCCAGAAACAAAACCCTCGACTGGCTTCACTGGCGTTCACTCCTACCTCTCCCCAGCCACACACAGGAATGATGCTGGAAGCTTCTCTAGTTTCCTTCTTGTGCTCTGGCTCCTTTGATAAAACAGTTATAAGCTCACCATCTTCTAAATTCAGGGGTAAACGGCACCCTAACTCCACCAGAGAGTCTGTCTGGTTTTGACCACTGTCTTCCTCTGCATTCAGCATCCAATGACCTCTGGCAGCCCTGTATGTAGACTGAGTAAGGAAGGGACTTTGGCCTGAAAGTTGTTGGCTGCGGTGAATGGCTTGGTAACATTACATTTCAGAGTGTGACGCACTCTGGATTTGTTAAGTATACTCCACACATCATGGCACCTGGGCCTAGGAAAGGACTCCCCTGGCGCCATGCATGCTAACACAGCAGCTGCCCTCATAGACACTCAAGAGTCTGCAGTCATGACAAGCTCCAGGGGAGAGCACAGGAACAGGGGACAATGCAAGAGGGGTGGCATGCCCCCTGATTGCCTTCTTGTAGCTTATGAGCTGAACGTACATATTTCAGGCTAATGGTATCATTAATAAATAAATAAATAAATAAATAAATAAATAAATAAATAAATAAGAGTGTTACTCTCAAAAGCATGAAAAGAATACAGGACTCAAAATGAAACTGGGCTCAGATATAGAAAGAGTAAGATTCCAAATCACACTTGGCTTTTCGCCGGGCGTGCGTGCGGGATCAGTGCGGTGCCTCTAGAAGACAGGTTATGCCATTGCTTTGGCTGTCCACTAAAGACCCGCTCTAGCTGGCGTGCCTGTTTATCAGCCCTCCATTGTCGCAGGCCTTGTCCTAGTGCCTTGGGGTATTATAGTATTCAGCTCTCACCAGAAACAATTATGAGCCAGACTCTATTCAGTTTTCCTTCTCACATCACCTGGACCCAAGACACAGCTGCGTGAGCGTATACTAAGTCAGCACGTGTGGGTTCAGAGAGCAGGCAGCCTGGGGCTCATTCCCATCCTGGAGAACCACTCAGCCAAAAGTTAGTCATCTCTCTCTCTCTCTCTCTCTCTCTCTCTCTCTCTCTCTCTCTCCTTTCCTCCCTCCCTCTCTCCCTCCCTCCCTCTCCCTGTGTGTGTGTGTGTGTGTCTTTCTGTCTGTTTCTCTCTCTCTGTCTCTCTCTCTCCACCCCCTCTGTGTGTGTGTCTGTGTGTGTGTGATCCTTGGCCTGTGACCGTGAAGTTCTTATATTTTCGGTTGTGAGCCTAGCCTTTAACTCCAGGCCGACCTTGTAGTTCTAAGTGTGTACCCAGGCTGCAAAGTAGAGCAAGTAGCTCTGGCCAGAAGGTCTGCTAAATGAGGTATTTTCCGACTTACTCAACCAGTCCTCACTGCATCCATTCTCTTGGGGAGGGGAATAGAAATGCCAAGGGAGAAGGTTCTGGGTAGATGGGTAAGTTTTCATGAGCTGCCAAGGCTGCAAGAGCCCTTCTGCTTGGTACAGAAACAGAGCTCCCCCGAGGAAAGGGCGCTGCTGCTGGGACTCCTGTGGCTAAGAGATTCCTTCTCCAGCTGGAATTCAGTGTGTGGAGCATGGCTTTTCCCAGACTGCATATCCTCCATGCCTCCAGGAGTCCCTTTAGCAGGTGAACTACCGAGAGGTAACCTCGTTCTTCTCCCTTCACAGATATACCCAGATGAAAGCCACTATTTCCACAGCGTGGCACTCAAGCAGCATCTGTACCGGTCCATCATCAACTTCTTTGTGGAATGCTTCAGGATCCAGGACAAGCTACCCACAGCCACATCAAAAGAGGATGAGGAGGAGGACTAATGTTGCTTGAGACCTAAGCACAGACATGGCTCTTTCTACAACAATATGCAACTGAGGAACCCTCCCCCACCACCACTCTTCCTCCAAGGGCAGTGGAAGTGGGGGTGTCGGCGTTCCGTAGCATGTGTCTCGATACTGAAGGCCATTTGGGTGGGGGCGACAAGCTCTGGTGGGAACCACATAGCCTGGAACAACCCCACCTCAGCAGCATCGCCTCCTCCTGGCCCCCAATGACTGGCACATCCCATGCCCTCTCCCCCGAGGGGACAAAGTGAAGGACAATGACAGTGAGGGCACACTTTGAGCCCTTACGTCCAAGCTTTCTCTCTGTAGCATTGAGACCCGCCGTCTGCATTCACACACTGCATCTGTGCCCTCAACTGTGAGTCCTGTCTGGCTTCCTGTCTGACAGAGCTGTGCCATGGGAACAGGACAGCATGGTTGTCTCAGCAGTGTTCATACATGCCTGGCCCCTTTCTGTGGTTAGAAGAGCCCCCACTGTCCCTATCTGCACCCAGAAAACAGGTCTTTTATGTACAAAGTAAGACTGTAACTCTGCCCATGGTTAACCTTGTAGAATTACTTTGTATTTTTCTATGGTTTTAACTGGACACCCCACTGTCTCGGCCCCTGGACTGTCTCACTCCGAGCATTCTTTCTTTCGGTCTTCTGTTGCTTTGCTATGCTTTCCATGTCGTACTTGTTTGGATAAAGAGATCATTCTGGAACACCTGCTGTCTCTGTTAGACTTGGTGGAGGTATTGCAGACACCAAGGACTCAGAGCACCCAGCAGCACTCACTAAAAGCTCATCAGTCAAACCTTCTTCCCCCTGAGTGGAGCTGGGACTCGCCTATGGCTCCCCATCCATCCCACATGAACTTAAACTGCTACTCTTTCCCCTCCTTGATCAGCTGTCTGCTCTCTCCAGGTGACATTAGGTTAAAAATCACAAGACAGAAGGTTGGTTCCACTCTTAGGTCTGCTGAGTAATAAACCGGACCAGGTCATCACCAGCTGCCCCAGGCTGGCTCCCCCCTCCTGCTCTGACAGTGCCGTCGGTGAGCCCCACCCTCTCTCAGTAGCCTTGTAAGATACACTACCGACCAGATGTGTGACCACTGCCACCCATGTATATTTCGTTTCATTGTATATAAAGCAAGAAATGTGTGTCTGGCGTTGTGCAGTCCCCTCCCCCTCCCAGGCCTATCCTTGTGTTGAACTTGCATGCAGACACCTCTCTGGCTGATCTGGCCTGTCCAGAAGTGCTAGTTTGAAATATATCCATTGCCATTATTTCCTTTCAGGACTTTTGACAACCTGTATGCTGGTACGAACCACCCCAGGTTCCACTCCTGCTGGGGTGTCCTGAAACCCTGTCCTCAGAGATGTGTCCATGTTTTTTGTTTTGATTTTGGGTATTTTTTGTTTTGTTTATTTTTTTTAATGTTTGTGGGTTTTGATTCCGTCCACACAAGCACTGGCTCTTGTTAGGTCTGTTGGAAGAGTTGTATCCTGGGGTTTTCCACAGAAGATGTGTCACACTGATGAGAAGGGACCTCATGCTGACAGACAGACAGACAAACAGACAGACAGACAGACAGACCATGCTTTCACTACTTCAACAGGCTCAGCTGGCAGCAAAGCCCAGGAGGTCTGAAAGGGGGAGTCAGCTCTGGCTGCAAGGACAGGTCGGAGGGCGACGGGGATGAGGCATGGTAGCGTTTGTCATCCATGGAATAAAACATTATTTTACCACTCAGGTTGTTTTTTTTTTTTTACTTTCCTCCACTGGCTCCCATTAGAAAGTGGGCTAGGCTTCAAGACATGGTTTTTGCTTTCTTTCCTTGGAGTGGGAGGTGGGGTGTCTTGCAGTGTAGCCCTGGCTGGCCTGGAACTCACTATGGCCCTCACCAGACTGTCCTCTGTTCCCAGATGCTGGGATTAAGTGTGTGCACCACCATGCCTGACCTGTTTTGCTTTGTTAATGCTGGGTGGAGTTTGCTTTTCACTATGAGCATGCATCCTACAGAATAGTGGGTCTTGTGACATTTTCATACATACATACATACATACGTAGGAAACATATTCACCCCGCTGCCCTTCCCTGTGCTCTCCCACTGCTGCTGAGCCCTCCCTTTTCTCAAACAGCCCCCCCTTCTACTTTCATACGGTGAGCCAAGGAATTTGACTAGGGGTGCTTACATGACCATGGGTGAAGAGTTATGGGCAGTGACTATACCACTGAAGAAAATGTTCCTCCTCCTCCAGCCACATGAAATATCAGTAGCTCCTCAGGGAGGGTGGGACTTCATACTCCCCATCCAGATCCATGATAGAATGTCGATGGGCCCAATTGTGTGCAGGTGACCACAGCTGCTGTGAGTACCTAAGGGTGACAGACACATCCTGTCACAGGGACAGCATTTCCCAGCACTCCTTCCCCATTCTCTGGCTCTTCTAATCTTTCTTTGCATCTTGATGTTCCTGTACCTTAGAGTGGATGATATAGAGGTCCCGTTTAAAGATGAGCACACCACAATCTCTTTTTCTCAGTACTTTGGGCACCTGCAAAAGAAACTCCTCTGAACAAAGCTGTGAGTAGCACTGAATTATGGGTATAATCATAAATACTTAGAAGGCAACTTGAGGCACTCAGCACGTCCATTGGCTACATACCACTAGCTTTCCACCAGGACCCCTGCCCTTCCCAGTCATGACCCATGACCAGCTTCATAGGATGTGAATTCCCCCTCCAGTGGAGTCAGGCTCATATCCACCCATAGCAATCGTGCTGCTATTACACCAGTGGGCACATCTTGCCTGGCAGGTTGCTAATCATGCAATGTCTGCAACTGGGGAAGACTACTGATGACTCTTCTCTAGCAGTCTGCATCCTGGCGCTATAGAAAAGCCAGCCATCAATAAGGAGGCTCCCAACTCAGCCCCAGCTTTATATTTTCCATGTCCAGAAACCAAACTGTGTGGCGTCTTCAGCACAACGTGTTTGAAATACTCATTGCTCTCCAAATCTGATGCATCGAAAGCCCTGAATACATCAAGTAAAATCCATATAGCACGGGGCTCAACATGGTAACTCACACCTGACATCTTAGTCACATGACAAGTTCAAGGCCACACAAGACCTGTATCCAAAAATGAGGAGAGGGTGGGAAGAAAGAGAAGAAGGAGAAAGAGGGAAGGAAGAGGAGGAAGAAGAGAATAAAGAGGGGCTGGAGAGAGAGCTCAGTGGTTAAGATCACTAGCCATTCTTCCAGAGGAAGACTAGGGTGGGATTCCCATTACCCACATGGCAACTCACAACCATCTGTCACTCCAGTTCCAGGTGATCTATCACTTCCTTATGGCCTCTGTGGGACCCAGGTATGAACATGGTTCACATACATATAGGCAGGCAAAACATATAAATAAATAAAAATTAAACTTAAGGAAAGAAGGGGAGGAGAAGAAAGAGAATAGGAAGAAAGAAAAAGGATCAAATTCTTGTTGCTCACTGTTGGAGGCAAATGCTGGAAGATGAAGCGCTAAGGCCTGGAGTATTGCTGAGGGAATGGAAGTCAGAAAAGGAACTTCCAAGTCAGATAGATACTGCTGTGTTAAGATTCAACAGGAAGAAGACTTTAAAATCAGACTACTATAACATGAAGGAGACGCTGCTCTGATTCTGGCTGCCTTCTAGGTGGTGGGGCTTAGATAAATTATTTAGAGACATTGGGGCTGTCTCCAGCTGGGAGGCAGAAACTATAAGACTCAAAATCGGGGCAAGGCTGTGCGTGGAATCCTGTGCCATCTGAGTGGCACTTGTTGTCAGGCCTCCTGTGGACACCCTACTGCAATCTCCTGAGATCAGGGGCAGGGCCAGATGGGACCCCAACTTCCTAAGCTACGACTGTTTATACTACGAGCAAGTGCACAGGGCATTGTTCCTGTGGTAGGTACATGGCAGCCTAGGAAACACAGAGCCTGCTCCTAGCAGCCTAGAAGAGTCAAGGAGAAGACTTACAATAGAATAGATAGACTTCTACAAACTAGAAATGAAAGCATGAGGAGGGGTGGGGTGCTGTCAGGGAACCCCTGAAAAGGTAACATTTAAGCCTAGGCTGAAGTCAGGTAGGCAGTGAAAACACTTGGGGAGGGGTGACAGCAAAGAACCTCCAGCCCAAGAGCCCCATTGTTGTCAGAGTGAGGAGGAAGCCAAGATATAGGCAGGATAGGACCCTGGCCAGAAGAAGCCCTCAAGAACATCCACCACAGCCCCTTATCTCAGCAACACCCTCTCACCTCAAGGGCCATCGCAGACCTCTCTGAGGGACCCATCCAGATGCCATGGGTGTGATATCCACACCAGCAAGGCTGCTGGGATCCAGGAGGTCCAGGCTTGGCACTGTTGCTGAAGGGCAGCTCTGGCCACCTCAGCATGGCTGTGCTGCCTCCTAGCCCCAACCCTCTTCCTGCTGCCCCCAGGAAGTCTGGAGAGTCACACACACCTCTTTGCTTTCCTGACTCAGCCATTGATCCAAGGTATCAGACAGGATCCTCCTGACAGCCCCCAAGAAGTTTTCTGGGATCCCCCCCCCCCCGATGCTTACCGGCTGTGAGGGCCCTTACCACACTGGAAGTGAGACCATGTGGCCAACCACAGTAGATGAGACTGTGTTCAGAGACAGCAAGAGGCTCTACAGCTCCTATGAGCTCCCCTTCCTTCCCTTGCCTTCCCTCTCCACCCTTTTCTCCCTCTTTGCCTGGCTCTTCTCACTTAATCTGGATAACTCAGTTGCCATCTCGTAAGGACACCCCCACGGTCCTGAGTCCCAGGTGGTGAAGAGACACCTAGACACAGGAGTGCACTTGAATGTGGTCCTTGATGCAGCGTGATGCAGTCCTAAGAGTCCCTGAGCCGGAGACACATGGGAACACATGGGAACACAGGTTGGTCTGAGCTGGCGAGTGCCAGGACCACAGTCGCACAGAAGTTTACTCCAACCCTGACACTTCAAGTCCCCAGTGCAGGAAACAAAATCTGAGCTGCTTTGTGGGACCCAGAGACTCCCTTGACCTGGTCCCAAGACTGCCTCTGGGTGGACAGTGAGGAAAGTTCTATGGCTGCCTGTAGGCCTTTGTGTGGCCCTGTGGCCCTGGCTTGACCTTCAATTACAGGCAGTTTCTCCTGTGTCAGCCAAGCCAGCAAAGGCCTTGACATTCAGTTTTATAAAATGGCTGAAGGTATCCTAATGGCAGGCAGGGCCATTAATCAGATAATGGGATCTCGCAGCTCTGGTGCTGATCTGACAGCTCCTAGCAGCCACAGAGTCAGAGAAATGGCAGCCAGGCCCCGTCTATATCCCCAGTGTAAAGTCAAGCTCTGGACTCCCAAGGTCGCCTAACCTGACGTGCTGTAGCTCAGTTCACTGTGATGTATCGTGCTTGCTAACTGGTATTTCTCCATCCAGACTGAATTCTCAATGTGCTCCAGAAGCGGTGCCACACATGATGGTCACAGACAAGGCTGTGCCCACGGCAAGGTAGCTGCTCTGCTCCACCTGTGTCGCGTCTTCTGTCAGAAAACCCATAAACACATCAGATTCCACTAACTCCCAAACTCCACGGTAGTAGCCACCACGGTTACTCATCACCATCCTGAGTAGAGACTCCACGTAATGCTTGTGGCTTCAAAAACCCACACGGAGCAGGGCAGCAACCGCAGGATCCCTGTGGACACACGATGAGGATGGTGTACCCCTGAGGAAACTAGTGTCCTCCTCAGGGCCTAGAGGACAGTCTGCAGAACCTCAGTCACGTCTGACAGTGGACAGAGCTGCCTCAGAGTCTGTTTGCCAAGAAAATTCCCTCCACCTGTCCTGTCTAGAACACCGCTCCTGGCCTTCAAGAGCATGGGCAGTCGGCAGACAGTGGGCCTGAGTTCTTCAAGGAAGGTCTCCACCCAGGAAAGTCAGTGGTCTATGGGCCCGAGCCTCCAGCCCTGAGATGGCACATGGAGCGTGGCTGGCATCCACCCTGATTTGCTCACTGGTACAAAGCTCCTTCCAGGAAAAGGGAGGGGGACCAATATAGGACCAGTGAAATGACCCAGCAGGTAAAGCCTGATGGCGCGAGTTTGATCTCCTGGATGCACATAGTGACAGGAGAGAACGGAGTCCCAAGAGTCCCAAAGTTATCCTCTGCTTACACACACATGTGCGCATCCTAGATAAACAAAACCACCCACACAGGATGACCACAGTCCCTCAGGGTCTGGAAGGTTGCAGTCTCCTAGGAATCACCGCTTCATGCTCTTGAGTCTCCTGGCTAAACCCTCCCAGAGACCCGGCCCAGTGGAATCCCATTGAGAAGGCCAGAGTCCAGTGTCACAGTAGGGACTTAAAGTGCCAGGTGGCGAATCTGGCCTCCCTGGCCCTGGGTCTCAACACCATGCTTGAACATCTCTCTGTCTCAGCTTCATGATGAAATCTGATCATGCTGTCCGTCTTGCTGGTTGCCCAGGGTAACACGGAGACTCAGCAAGAAACCGTGTCTGAACATTTGGAAAACAGGGAAGCTGACAACAGAGTGGAGGCAAGAGAAGCATCCAGAGAGGCTTCCCACCACTCCAGAGTCAGGAACCTGCCTTAGACTCCGAGTGTGTCACCTCCTACCTGCACTGGTCATCTGTGCCCTCCTAGAGGTCTCCTGAACCAAGCCCCGGGCCAGATTCCCTAGCTCTCCCAGCCCCCGCTTCAG